TTCTGGCAAAAGGAACAAATTGCTCCCTAACATGCCTTGGGCTGCCTTGTCTGGCCTCAGTGGGAGAGGATGTACCTAGTCTTGCAGTCTTGCAGAGACTTAATGTGTCAGATGGGGTGAAACTGGGGAGTGGGGGACTTTCCCTTCTCAGAGTGAAAAGAGAGTGAGGATGAGGGAGGAGCTGTGAGAGGGGACCAAGAGGAAAGGGGTTGCTGATATTGAGATGTAACAAATAAATTAATGGAAAAAATGCAAAAAGTTAAAAAGAAGTTACTATATTTGGCTCCTCTCACCAATAAGAAAAAATAACAATGTTTAATGGACCTATTTGTATTCTGAAGACAATACATTCCTCACTTGTGTTACTCGGGGTGTGTAGCTTGAGCCCATATACCAAGAGACTCAGAAAGCTGCTAGTTTCGAGGCGGGTGGAGGCTGGAACTGGATAAGGCTCTTCAGCAAGTCCAGGCTCCTATGTAAGCTGCTCTACCAATTGGACCATATTATCCAGCAGACCCAAGAATACTTTAGAAGTCACTGGCATATACGTACGCTGTTAAGAAACACTGGCAAGCCCATATGGGTGAATCATAAAAGAGGCTCTTTGGTATTTTGGAACAAAGCTCTACCAATATCTGCAGACAATTATTCATCCTTTGAAAGACAGCTTTTGGTTTGTTATTGGAACTTGATGAAAACAGATTATTTGACAATGGGACACAAAGTTACCATGCCACCTGAGCTGCCCATCATGAGCTAGGTGTCATGTGATCCATCTAGTAAGGAAATAGGACGTGCATAGCAGCAATTTATTATCAAATGGAAATGGTATGTATATGATCAGGCCCAAGCGGATCCTGCAGGAACATGAAAGTTACATAAAGAAGTTACCCTAAATGTCTATGGTTTCTACTCCTCCTGTTTCAGTGCCATCTTGAGCCAAAAATGTACATATAGCCTTATGGAGTGCTATGGTCCCTTGACTGAGCAAAAGAAGACACATGCCTGGTGATTCTACACACTTTTCAGGCACCCCTCAGATGGGGGATCTGGGAGGAAGAGAGGAGGGGGAGGAAATAAACAGGCAGTATCAGGTACTGGAGGGGAAGGGAAAGAGGTACTGAAGGGGAAGGGAGAGAGGAACAGAGGGTCAGGAAATAGAATAAAATATGTAGCAGTGGGGGATGAGGAACTGGAGATAGCCACTGGAGAGTCCCAGATGCCAGGGAAGTGAGAGGCTCCTAGGACCCAGTAGGGATGACTTTAGCTGAAATGTGCAAAGAATGGGAGATAGAACCTGTAGTGAGAACACCTCCAGTATAGGCATGGTCCCTGGTCAAAGGATGGGGCCACCCACCTCAATGGTTTTAACTCAGAATTGTTCCTGTCCAAAAGAAAGACAGGGACATAAAAATGGAGCAGAGACTGAAGGAAGGGCCATCCAAGGACCTCCCCACCTAGGGAGCCATCCTATTTGCAGACACCAAACCCCAACACTGTTGAGGTTGCCAAGAGGTGCTCGCTGACAGGAACCTGGTTTGGCTGTTTTGGGGAGGTTTCTGCCAGCAACTGACCAATGTAAATGTGGATACACGGAGCCAACCATCAGACTGAGCATGGGGACCGCAATGGAGTAGTTAGGAGCTGAAGGGTTCGCAACCCCATAGGAAGAACAACAATATTAACCAACCAGACTCCCCAGAGCTCCCAGGGACTAAACCACCAACCGAAGAGTACGCATGGAGGAACCTATGGCTCCAGCTGCATATGTAGCAGAGGATGGTCTTGTCTGACATCAATGGGAGGGGGGCCCTTGGTCCTGTGGAGGTTTGATGCCCCAGTGTAGGGGGATGCTGGAGCAATGGGGCAGGAGAGGGTGGGTGGGTGGGGGAACACCTTCAGAGAGGCAAAGGGGAGGGGGAAGAGGGCAGATGTGAGATGGGGGGTTTGTGGAGAGGTGACCAGGAAGTCAGAGATCATTTGAGATGTAAATGAATGGAATGGTTAATAAAAATAAATAAAAGTTTTTTTTAATTAAGAGTATAGATTGGTCCAATTTAGCAGCCCCTTTTTATTTAGGTCTGCTCTATTTTGACCTCTCTCATAAAGGATTTGTAATACCATCACAATCATATAACTTATAACTACCTTCATTTTGATAATTTAAACCAATTACTATATTTTTTTGGAAAGGGTTTCTGTGTAGCCCAGAGTTAATTTGAATTTTCTCTGTAGATTAGGCTGGCCTCAAACCCACAAGGAACCTACTGTCTATGCTTTTCTCTCCCAAGTATTGAGATCAAAGGCCTGGATTTATTTATTATCGATGTACTCTTGAAAACATTTACATCAATTCCTATTTCTTTCTCCATTCTTTGAAGATTAATATCTTTGACAATTTAAAACAACTATTAAGACAGGGTTTCTCTGTGAAGCCCAGGCAGACTTGGATTTGTTCTGTAGACTAGGCTGGCCTCAAACTCACAAGGAATCTGTCTCTGTCTTTGACTCCCAAGTACTGAGAGCAACTTCATGAATTTATTTATTTAGTACTTATGTACCCCTTTTTCTTCATTTAATATCCTCTATATTCAACTTCATTTAAATTTGCCTCAGTTTAAAATATCAATATAACAAAATTTAAGACAGCAAAACAGTAGGAATGAGAAACACACTGGTGGGTGAATTAATAATGGAATAATCACCATCACCAGGTGTGGTGGTGTACACTCATAATTCCAACACTCAAGAAACAAAGGCAGGTAGATTATCATAAGCTTGAGGCCAGCCAGGAATCTTATTAGGAATGAAAGAGTGTATTTCTAAGGTTTCTAAGGTGTATTCATCAGTACTTTTCCCCTCTGGTGGCTATATAACAGTCCACAGTCTTAACACACCACGCTTAAGTTTACCCATTCATCTAGTGGTAGGTATTTCAGTTTTCTCCTTTTTGTCTATTATAAATCATGCTGAGCACAATAAGGTGCTAGGGGCTACAGCATTTACAGTTCCATCAATAACACAGCAGATTCCTCTTCAATTCCCACATACTCTCACCTGTTTCCCAGCACTTCTACATGCTAGACAAGTGCTCTGTCACTGAGCTATATCCTCACCTTGCAACATTCACTTTTTAATTTTCAGAACAGATCTTACTCTCCTGCCTCAAACTCATATATGCCTTTCTCCATCTACCAAGTACTGGCATTACAGGGTCGTGCCAACACAAATGACTTATCTTTTTTATTCACCATCTTAATGATATTCAGTAGTATCTCACTATGCTTTAATTTGTATTGCTTGAGGGCTGATAGTGTTGGGTATCTTCAAATAGGCCAGTGGAGCATCTGTATGTCTTCTTTGGAGAAATGTCTTCTGAGATCCATTGCCCATTGTGTTACTGAATTGTTCTTTTAGTGTTCAGTATATAAAAGATTTGTTTTGAATACAAGGTTATTTTGAGTCTTTTTATTATTTTTGTTTTGTTTGTTTGTTTGTTTGTTTTTGAGGGTTTTTTGAGTCTTTTAATATACAATAATGCCGGGCGGTGGTGGTGCATGCCTTTAATCCCATCACTTGGGAGGGAGAGGCAGGCGGATTTCTGAGTTCGAGGCTAGCCTGGTCTACAGAGTGAGTTCCAGGACAGCCTGGGCTATACAGAGAAACCCTGTCTCGAAAAAACCAGTAATAATAATAATAATAATAATGTACAATAAATGGAAATATTTCAAAGAGCAGTAAAAACATGTTGAGTTTTTTTAACACAAATGAATGCAAAAGCAGGAACTACTTGTGTAGTTGTGTATTATAAAATTAATTGTTGACTGCTTGAAACATACTTCGTTCCCTTAAATTGCCATGCTTTTTTTTTCAGTGTTAAGAGAGGGAACCTGGAGCCTTGTATGTGTGAGGCAAGCTCACTCTACCCCTGAACTACAGGCACGTGCTCCTCAATAGTTAGCATTTTCTAAGGTTTTGTTGTATTGAATGAGGGAGACAAATATAAAAAAAAGACTCCTCTGGATATTTTTTAAATAAGAAAAGAATGTTAATGGAAGAAATTGTGGGGAAGGGGCATTGAGATAGCTCAGCACATAAGATCACTTTCCATACAAGCCTAATACCTGAGCTCCATCCCTAGAATCCATGGTAGGAGAATCAAACTAACTCCCAAAATGTTGGCTTCTGGCCTTTACGTATGTGCCTTATAAGCACACGCACCATACGTATCAAACATACACAGAGAGAGAAGCCACAGAGGAACTCTGCTCATTGGTTTGCTCCTGTGGCTTGCTCATCCTGCTTTCTTAAACAACTTAGGGCCACTTGCTCAGGAGTGTCATCACCTACAGTAAGCTGGACCTTCCCACATCACTCATCAATCAGGAAAATGCCCCATAGACCAGATAATCTGATGAAGACAGTCCCTCTATTGAGATTCCCTCTTCCTTGGTTGCGTCTAACCAACCAGCCCAATACCCTTAAAGGCTCAGTTACTACTGAAAGACACAGAAGGAACTTAAAAATCTGTCTTGAGGCAATCCTGTAGGCTCTATGGTGGAGGGAAATAGAGATGACAAGAGCAACCCAGGAAAGATGGAAGCAGTACCTGCACACAGCTAGAGGGAGATAGAAAGAATGCAAGAGTCAAAGTTTGGGGAGAAATGCTGTGAAATGGAGTCTTCTGGACATGACATGGAGACTGCACTCATGAATTCAACAAAGCTGTGTTTTCTGCAGAAATCCTATAGAAGATGGTCATCATTTCATTACCCATGGGGAGGGAATCATTAGGCCCCATCCCTCAATGAGGGACTGTGGGCTGTTAATGTAAGGAGGAGGACCATAAGATTTTTAAAAAGGAGAGCGATTAGATAAGCCATCATTCAATTGCTTAATATGTATGACTTTTGGTTAGTACATTATAATGGGAAGCTACTAAAATAATATAGAAACAGTTCAATAAATAAAGTATTATCTTTTAGAAAAGAATATTTTTCTTTAAGTTTTCCAATGTTTTTATTTTTCTTGATACAGATTTGAATTGATGTGTCAGTAGATCACAGGGGAGAAGCTTCAAACAACCAAGGATCAACTGGAGCAGAATCTAGAAAGAGAAGCAAGAGTTACACTTGATCTCAAAGGCTTCAGGGTTAACTTAGCAAAACAAGAACTATAATGTGTCCATGGCTGCACTCAGACTTTGATATCATTATAGCTAAGTACCAGACAATTTTCCATTTGTATCTATTGAACAACTATAAGCTGTCACTAGGACCAAGCAGTAGAGTCGAGACAACAAGATCCACTATTTGGCAACCATATGATATAATCGTGCCCAATCAGATGGACAGGCAATGTCCATTCAGGTCACAGATCCTATGCAGGTATAACACAGGGAACTACTGGAACACACAGAAGGAACTTAAAATTCATCTGTCTTGGGGCAGTACTGTATGCTCTATGGTGGAGGAAAACAGAGATGACAAGAGCAACCCAGGAAAGATGGAAGCAGTACTTGCAAATAGCTAGAGGAGAGAAAGCACACGAGGGGTGGGAAGCTACAGAGAAACGAGGGGCAGGTAGCAAGATATGAGGATGAGTAACTGGACAGCTACTTGATTGATAAGGTTATGTTAGTGAAGGCTAAGGAAAAGACACTTTTCCTGAGAGGAAAGCAAAGCAGGGAGAAAGCAGTGGCGTGGGCTTAAATGTCATGTGCAGGAGACAGCTTGCACAGTGACTCCCTGTCTAAGTGTTGCTGGATGAGTGTTTTTTTTTTCTAGCATCATCCTGCAAGGGTGATGGAGACAAGAGTAAAGTACTGGAGATACAGAGACTCTGAGCTACAAAAGTCACAGGTCATGAGAAACAAGGAATAAATGTGTTTCTCATTAGGATTGTTCACATCTTTTGTTCGAGCCACTTAAGAAACAAGTTAACACCACCATCACCCTATCCCTACACTTTGCCACTTGTAGCAGTTGGGATAGCTGGCCCTGCCCGTTGATGGCTGTAACACTAAGCTCAGTAGTGCTGGGCCTGGTCCAGAGAGTTCGGGTGAGTCAGCCCTGAAGTCAACATAGAGGAAGAGCTGACCCCACCACTAGTCTACCATTAGATGGTATGGGTGTTGTGATCCTGCCCTTCCCCTCCCTCCTCATCACCTGCCATAGTCATGAGAGCTGGCCAGGAAGCATGAGAGCAGGAGACCTTGTCCTGCCCACTCACTGGCTGTAGCACTCTGGAGAACTATCCATGCCCCTCAACTAGGCAACACGGTAGAGCTGGCCCTGATAATGAAGGCATGGGTGACCCAGCCCTTGGAGTGTGAGAGCAAGAGTTGTCCCAGCCTCTCACGGGCCATAGCACTTGGGAGAGCGGGGCCCATGCCTTGACTGGGAAGCATAGTGGAAGCTGCCTCTGGAGGAATGGTTGTGGGTGAGCCAGCCCCAAGGACATGAGAATAGGAGAGCTGACCCTGCCTCCTGCTGAGGGCAGTATTGGGTGGCCTTGCTGGAGCAGTGCTGGAGAGCTTGCCCTGATAGTTCCAGTAAGGGAGAGTCACTGGGCTGACCAGCCCAGCTACCACCACCAAGATTCATAACCAGGCATCTGAGTTAGCCCACCCCAAAATCAGTATCATCTATGAAGGGTTGGGATGTGTGAATGGGCCAGTCCTGCTGATCCAAAGCTGCAGGATCTCCATGACGCAGGGTAACAACAGGATAGTCAGGAGTAGTCCAGGTTAGGATCCAATATTGATGGTGTCACAGAAAGCCAGACCAATGACTCATTGCAACAAACATTACCAAGTGAAGATGTGTGAAGACAAGGACTATAGTGTGGGGACATACTGTGACATACTACAGGTCCCACGATGACATGTTTTCTATGTTTTTGGTTTTTGTTGTTGTATGTTTTTTATTTATGGGGGCAGATTGCAAGGTTGAATGGCAGTTATGAGGGGGTGGGGAGTGGAGTGGAACTGAGGTGCATGACATAAAATTCACAAGAATCAATAAAAAGTTTTTTAAAAAAAGAAAGAAAAGAAAAAAGAAAAGAAACAAGTTAATGTAGAAGTTTCCAACCAGAAGGAAGAGGCTATATTTGCTGCTTATAATTCATTTTAGAGATCAATTACTTAACCTAAACTTAACTCTTACATTAGGAAGCATGCATGCCTTCTTCTGCTTCTCCAGTCATGAGCTTCACCAATCCCATCTGCCTCTGAAATAAGTCAAATGTTATTTATAGAATGCTTAAAGGTTATTGTTATGAACACGATAAGTATTGAGAAGACATTGCTTTTAAGTAAGATTTTAGAGACTACACTTAATGAGGATTGGTTTAAGAAAACAAAATCATATAAATAAAATTTCTACTTGATTTTACGTTCAGATCATATCTCTTCTATTGAGATCTGAACAAGAGTACAATCAATATATGTTCGTTAGATATACATTATTTAACAAGATGTTTTATTGATACAAAGGTTAAATAAATAAATACCTATACTGAATGCACTGTTTTATTAGTTGTAGTAAATTTCTATACCGGATATGTGTGATGCACAGAAGTATATGCAGATTTTTAGATAAGGTACAAATCTTAAATCTTTTTATAAGGCTTGCTAACTATATTCATCTAGTTAATTATAAAATGGATAAAAGTACTCCAGACTATATTGAAAACGTCCACCTATTTCTACACTGCCATTTAAGCCTTTGTGTGGAAGAAATTAAAAAATCTTATTTACATCCCAAGCAAATCCTAAAACAGAAAGCACACACACTTCGGTGGCAATGAGGATATAGCATTTAACATTTCACTCATTGTAGCAATGAGTACATTTCTTTGACTGACAGCTCTCCCAGTGTTGCAGACACTGCTTCCCAAGACATTTCTGTGACAACAGCACTATAGAGAAGATTTGTAAATGTAACCTTCAACACCAGAGGAGACTGAGACACTTCAGGAAGTATTAACATTTTTTAGAAAACTTTTTGTTAAAAACTAGTAGCGTAATGTTATCTTCTATCCAAAGCTCCTTTCTAAATTATTTAACTCTTATAGGTAATAGATTTTATTATTTATGTATACTTTTTCCAAAAATATTTTCATAACATATAATTTCCTCTTGGTGGCTGGAGAAATGGCTTAGCTGCTAAGAGCATATGCTGTTTTCCCAGAGGACCCCAGATCAGTTCCTAGTACTCATGTCAGGCAACTCACAACCACCTGTAACTCTAGTTCCATAAAACCAGACATACTCTTTGGGCTTCGGTACACACACACACACACACACACACACACACTCCCTTCTATTCTCCTCATCAATATTTCTTAATAACCACGCATTTCTACCTCATCCACCCCCACTTCCTTCACCAGCAGAGGGGCACACTTACCTGGACAGACATGCCAACTGCATTTCATGTCTAAGTACACATGATACAAGCCCTGTTCACACTTACTGCACCTTTTCAGGCTGGCTAGAATCCTAGAAGTCCTTCCAAATAAAGCGTAAAAATTTCAGAAGCCACAAGGGTTCTCTAAAAGGTTCTTCCCTAGACTCAAGCTCCTTATTTCTCTCCAAACTATCCACTCTTTGGCTCCCAAGTAACTCAACAGTTGTCATGCCACACTGCAGCTGTCACTCTCATCCACCTGAAATACCTCCCTAAGATGTCCCTTGGGTTCCAACAAGGCTGCCTCCAGTCCATGCCTCTTGCTTTTCCAAGCTTTAGAGCTATGCCACAGATCTTAGACTTAAGCCCTTTCCAGATAATGCACTACTTCTCCAACTTGGTATCCCTAACAAACCCTCCTTTGAGGAAACTACCCCTTTATAACTTGCCAGAAACCTGTTCAAGGTGCACGATCATTAGCATCACCTTGCTCTCTCCCTATCTCTACCCCAACTTGCTTAATCAGCTAGTACTTTGGGAACTTGTCTAGAGATGAAGCTGATAAGGTTATTGTACCTCTAGTCTATGGCAAGATTCCTAAGTTCAAACACTTGAAAACCTTGCTGCACATTTGGAAAGTACTTATTGGAACTGACTATGATGTTTTAGAACATTCCTTGTTTCAGCTTCTCTTACTCATCCCCATGAGTGTCAACCGTCTTAGACAGTGGACAGAAGCCTGTGTGTTTCCAGCTGGGTGGGATGATTTCTTTCCCATGAAGCTCTGATCATGTCACCCTCTTATTTTTCCTTTTCCTTTTTTACACTCTTCTGTATTTTCCCCTCATTTGTTACTCTACCACTAGCCCTAGTGTGAAACTACTTAAAAGGTCATGCAAGCATTAAATAAACAAAGGAATTCTAGTCACTTTTATTGTTAGATTTCAGCCCCACATTTCCCAGTACATCCTTTAGATTGGACTTTCATCTCATAGATGCATCACCAGGAAGACCATTGTAGTGTCACCAAGAGTCACTATAAGTCTCTCAATCCACTCTCCAAAGCCTATTTCCTCCATGAAGCTGAGACCCTGTGTCATGATGACTCCAGCAGCTTACCTGGTACTTGACTGAAACTTTTTCAAATGCCTCTGCATCATTCTCAAAAAGTTGAAAGAAAGCTAATCCTTAACCTTGTCTCTAGAACTTCCCCTTTTAGTTTTTTTTTTCCTCAGATGGGACTCATCTCTGAATGTGTGGTCCATACATCCAGATGGGAGAATTCCACCTTATTTGTAAGCCAGAGAGCCAGAGAACACATTTTTTTTACATATATGTACAAAGAAAACTAAATGGTCTGCTGGAAATGGTTCTTCATCCGCAGTGTCTATACACTGCTATAAAAAGAATGTTGTTTCTATGGCAATGAACCAAGTTTATAAATTATCAAAAGCCTCAGTACCAGCATCATAAGGCTAAACAATCTACAAAACTATTTTTTTAAAAAAACTGGTATTCAGACTGGTACAAACAGAACTCAGACACTTGGTCCTGCTTTTTCCTTGGCCATCTCCTTCCATAGCTTCTATCGCTGATTTGCTCCCTATCCCACCCCTGAACTTTTCCTCCACTACCTTTCATCCTTGGTAAGTCAAAAGATTCAAAGTCACCTAAGAGTCCTTCACAGTAGACAGCCAATTCCAGCACTTGGGTATAACACCAATATCTCCTTTAACCAGATATGCTGAGACAGTTTTGTTTCATTTGTCATGGGGGTGGGGACCTCTAGAGAAGACTGATTGTGCTTTTTCTCCTTATTTTCCAACTAAAATGAGTTTTCAAGTAAAGAGGAAGAGTTGAGAAGACAAACTGTGTGGCCTGAATGACTATGTTACAGAAGAACAGGGCAGGTTCTGTAGAAAGAGGGTGACTGGTCAATTATGTGCTATAGTGCTGCTGACAGAAAATGCAGTTTGCAATATATATCTTATAAGGGCTAAACTAATGGGAGGTCACTTGTATTGTTCACTTGTGCCCGTGTCAGTTTAAAGCTATAAAAGCTCCATTTTTCTCCATTAAAAGATCTTATCTCTTTTTTTAAAAAAAGGGGGAAAGAAAAAAATGAAACTTAAACTGGCTGTCATTGAGTCTCAGAAAAGTAGAAATACACTGTGTTCATACTCTGAGAGACAAACAATGGAAATGCAATCTCTCTATGGAACCTGAAACTGGCCCTACAATAGTCTTACAGATCACTCCTAGAAACCATCCAACAAAAACCAACAACTAAGTATTTTTGAAAAGACAAGCTCTAGTGACTCATTAAAATTAAAGAACTTTATTTTTTAAAAAAAAGATTATTGTAATTTTTACTTAACATGCATCAGCCTATAAAACAACTCAGCATTCTATCAAATTAAAAATAAGTATTATTTTAGAAACTGAAAATTCCCAAAGAAGTAGAAGACAGCTTTACTAACCTTGTACAGGCCCTTCCTCACACTCTCAAAACCAGGCTGAGGCTCTGAGGTAGGAAGAAATGAGGCATCTCTTGAAGGAAACCTGGGATAGTGTCCCACAGCAGGATTAAACTTGGCAGCATGAAGGCACTTTCGAACAGCCAGTGAACTCAGAATAGTTTCCAAGGTCGTCTTCTGCTCATTCAACCGAATAAGCTTTGTTTTAGACACCTCTAGCTTTTCCATTCTCCTATGAAGATTACAACAAGTCCAAATTTAGCATCTCATTTTTCTCCTAAACAACTTTTAAATGACTTGCTTTACTTTGAAAAAAAAGGGCTATAGGAATAATCAGAATGTCCCATTACATAGTCTCTGAGCTGAAAATGTATCAGAGCATACCTACTATACACAATAACAACAACAATTAAAAATTTAAAATTGTTGTGAATGAAGTACATCTACTCCCAGAGGAATTCCTCACTACTAATACAAAAGAAGTCTGAGAGGAAGAACTGGTTATCAGGGAGTCATAACTTCACAGGTAGCACTGGTCTACTTTCTGGAAGGTAGATCCCTGAAGATGATCTTACAAGACCCTTGAAGATGACAGTAAAACTATTTGTACTCCTAAAGGTAAACTATGTGAAATCGTGGGTATGTTAGTTTGCTTAGAGTGCCCTATAAGTAAATATGTCGATATACGACATTGTGCTCCTTAAATATATGCAATTAATGAGAACTAAACAAAAGCCAGAAACCCTTGTGGATAGTAAACCTGTGCGTGTGTGTGTGTGTGCCCCTTGAAATCATTTGTCTTCTATGTTCACCATCTGTGAGCTTTGTCCATAACCTATGTGGTGGTTTAAAAATACTTGGCCCACAGGAAGTGGCACTATTAGGAGGTATGGCCTTGTTGGAGGAAGTGTGTCACTGTGGGGGTAAGCTTTGAGATCTTGTCGCTCAAGTTCCATCCGGTGTGGAAGACAGCCTCCTCCTGAATGTATTCAGAAGTGAGTTTCTTCTAAGTCTTCAAGGTGTAGAAGTCTGGGCTCCTCCAATACCATGTCTGCCTGCACATTGCCATGATCCCTGCCATGACAATAATGGAGTGAACCTCTAAAACTGTAAGCCAGCCCCAATTAAACGTCTGTCATTGTAAGAGTTGCCTTGATCATGGTGTCTCGTCACAGAAATGGAAACCATAACTAAGGCAACTGATGCATAAGTTAAGATTTATCCCCAAGCAATAAGTCAAAGCTGCATCTTTTGGGGAAGTGGAAATAGCCAACAAGGTGATCAAAAAGAATGGATACTCTTGCAGTAGTCACAGACTATCTAACAAAACCCCCAATGCCAAGCCTGGGAAACATCTCTTTAAATTTTCATTAGTGGGATCCAAGAGGTTTCCAAAACAATATAGGCTACTGCCATTACCCTGGGTTGCCCCAGAGAACTTGACAAAAGATCCTGTTTTCTGAAAACATCACACACATTTAAAAAAAGTAAATAAATAAACCTTTGCATGATCTCATTGCAAAGCCGTAAGAGTTGGGTCCTGTGCTTTCTGCATTGAACACAGCCTCTTGTACTAACAAAGGAATTACTTTAACCTCTTTGTGAATTACAGATCCACTTATTCCTGTTTTAATCCTTTCTCATGAGTTTGAGTTTGTCTTTAAGGAAAGAGGAAAGTGTAAGGAGAAGGCTGACTGCAGATGCAGCGGACACTGGTTAATACCATGACCAAGCATGGCAGTATTACTGCTGCTCCTCACCCATCTGGGTTGAAGCTGCAATCTTCCACAAATAAGCTTCTTAAGACTTCTGTGGAGGAACCAGAAGTATTTATATTAAAATGTAGGTATTCAAAAACACTAATGAAACTGGGTGTGGTGGCATGTCTTTAAATCCTATCACTTGGGAGGCAGAGACAGGCATATCTCTGTGAGTTTAAGGCCAGAGTCATCTATATAATGAATTTCAGGCCAGTGAGAACTACACATACACCTTGTCTCAAACAACAACAAAAAATGACTAATAGAGCAAGCTGGCCATATGAGAATATAAAAGTGGCATCTACAATATAAAAACAAACTTAGAAAATTGAGAAGAAATAGAGACCCTTACAGACTAACATATTAAGTGCAGTTCACTCTCCACCGTTATTTTTCAAAGTTTATTTTGCAGTTAACACTCATACCCTACTAATCTAAAAACCCTGTTTTACTAGACCAATGAGTGAGCTGAATTATTTTCCATTACTATTTTGACTTACTTGCTTAGTTTATTAGAAAGTGATTTTCTACTTTTATTTTCTTCTACATAGAGTTGTTTGCGTTTTTTCACTTCTCTCCTTGTAGAATTCACACGACTTTTTATCTCAGGGAGTCTTGATTCTAAACTTTCGACTCTGAGAATCATTTGACTCATTCGTGAATCATTGTTTTTCTCTCTTACTTTCTCTAATTTTTTTTCCTCTTCTGCTTGTGTCTAAAACAAATTAAAAGTAAATGTTTTTAAAATAACTAAAAGTTATTTTAAAATAAAGTTTAATAAAGTTAAGTTAAATACGCCAAAGTGAGTATGGCGTATGTATCTCCAAAACCTCATGAATCACACAGTGATTTTAAAGATGTGATACAACATTCTGGACCTGAGAATATTTATCTTCAGTTCTACAAAAATGCATTACATGTGTGTCAAGAAATACAACTGACTCTTCTTTTGGTTTTCTTTGGTGCTGAAGGAAATCTAATCAGGAGGCTTGTACATGCAGCTTGCGTTCCCTGCCACTGAGTTATGGCCTCAGCTGAGAACCATGCTCATTTTAGTACTCCTGTTTCCAAATAACTCTAGTTGATGGAACCATTCAAAAATTTAAAACTTGAACATCATAACTTAAGGACAAATCCACACTAGCCTTTGTATATACAAACTAGCTTTAAAAGCAAACGATTCAGGGGTTGATGTCAAAAGTATCCCCTCTCCAGGAAAAAGACATCCAGATGGGTATGGCCCTCATGCTTCACTGGACAACGCCAGGGGGACTGGAGCCATTACAAGGTCCCCTTCAAATACTGGAGGTCAGGCCTCTATCTCCGCCTTCGCAAGTTTAGAATTGCCACAGCCCTTCTATACTTAGAGAAGGGAGGAGATGTCAGGGGCAGATGTCACAGCTTACACACTGAAGGCCTAAACTCAGCCATAGGCCTAAAATTAGCAATAGGCCTGTCATACATGTATACTAACACCAAGTCTTGGGTCTCAGTGGAAAAACATTGAAACAGATGACTATATGCTAATGTAAACAGGCAGCTTTTGTGGAAAGCCTGAGTAGTCATAGACCTTGTAAATAGGTAGCCTTGGCAGACAATACCAACTTAGATAAGGACAAGCGAGTCATAGGCAGAGTCATAGTGACTTGTCCCCTGAACTTTCACCCAGCCGATACCCGGTTCTGATGATATCTGTATTCCTCCTGATCACCCACACTCCAGTGTCATTCCCTTCCCCACATCCTGCTTTTCTGTGTTTATAACCCCTGTGTCAATGAATTACGATTTGAGAAAAAATAAATTATTAAAAAAAAGCAAATGATTCAAAACAATAGTCATTACAATATAATGATGGAAACTGGATTTTTTTAAAGGGAGGAACTTAGATCATGTGCCTTCCAGAAATATACAAATCAAATTGCTATTAGAAAAGTGGAAGAAACATAACAGAATTATCCAAAATGTAATCCTCAGTGAAATGAAGCTAAGCATGTTATATGCAATCAGACTAATGTTCCATGCCTCCACCATTATGCCTTCCTCCTGCCTGGGTCTCCTTTCCCACTGTTTAACTGACCCTGACTTACCATACTCTCTTGAACCAGCCCTTTGAGGGTTAGCACTTCCTTTTCCACATTTCCTTGAGTCTCGTGTAGGTGTTCATAATTCTCTTGCTCTGTTTTTATTTTTAACAATTCTTGCTCAGTCAACTGAATGTTTATATCTTGATGTAGATATTTGCAATGTATAGGTTCCCATGTATCTTTAAGATAATTGATCTACATGAAGAAAAATACAGTTGTAATGATGAATTTAGGCTGTGTATAGTCTAATACAAAATCAACACGCAATTTTAACAAATGCAGTTATAACTTATTAAAATCTATAGCAGAATCTTAGGGAGTTGCCTGTTGAAATTCTCAGAAGTCACCAGGAATCACAGAACTATATACTCTTTACATCAATCATCTTTGTTGTGAAAATGGCACTCAACTGACCTTAGACTTTGATTTGCAAATCTAAGTTTGCTATTTTATTAGCATCTGAACTACCAAGATGACTTGTTAGAAAGGCTGACTTCCAGGACTTCCATGGAAACACAGTCATGTTGGGGAGCTAGTGAACGGATTCCACGAAAGACAAGAAGATGGGGGAACCACAAGAACAGAAAGCAGTCTAGGAAACATGGATGAAGTGTGCAGAAACGGGAAATAAAAGAACCAGAAAACAACATGTATCGCTGTGATGGCGCCTGCATACAGTTTCAGAAAGACAGTAGTGCGTGGACAAAGGATTCATAAGCCCTGCTTTTCCATGAGCATCACCATGTTAGCCAAACAGCACTCTCATCAAGTTCCAGGATGTAAGGCTAGGCAAATGGAGCAATATACAAGAAAGAGTATGTGTCAGGAGGTAGGCCAAATGTGGTTAAGCAGCACCCTACGGGTGCAGCAGCTCTGAGATTATTCCCTTATGATGACAGACTGGTCCTGGCACCCCTACACTAGAGGTGAGCTTACTGGGCAGAGTTGCTGTGGTTTGTTGTTGTTGTTGTTGTTGTTGTTGTTGTTAAACCCTGTCTGACTGCCTTCAGCCTAGTCAGTGTATAATCTGGCTCTTCTCAGTCTCCTCCTGGATAGGTTATCTGAGGGCCTCTTGCATAAGTAGACCCAGAGGTGTGCATTACACCCTCTCACTCACCCATGGTCATCCTGCTGTACAGCAGCTGGTGTCACCTATAAAGGTATTTACTTGCAAGCCTGACAACATCAGAACAACCCCAGGAACCCACACAGATGTGGAAGGAGAGAACTGACTCCACAGAGTTGTCTTCTGACCTCCACATAGCATATACACACACACACACACACACACACACATACCATCTACACACACCATCTACACACATACACACACACACACACCATCTACACACACATGCGCACACACACACATACTATGTACACACTCAATAATATTTTTTATTTTTACATACTTAATAGACAAAAAACTTGAAGTTTTATGTTTTCCCAAATTAAAAGATTTTAGGTCTTGCAACTGATTTAAAATTACCTCACGGAGCAACAATACCAACCAACCACAGCTCCCAGGGTCTAAACCACCAGCCTGGGAGCACTTAGGGGGGGATCCAGGGCTTCAGCTGAATATGTAAAAGTGGAGGGCCCTGCTGGGCATAGGTGGAAGAAGAGAACCTTGACCTCATGAAGGCTGGATGCCCCAAGGGGTGGGAATTTTGAGGGTGGGGAGGTGGGAGGTGGGGTAGATAGAGGTTACCTCCACAGAGAAGAAGGAGGAGGGGCGAGGGGATTGGGGGTTCCGAGGGGGTGGTGGGGGATGGGGTAAGGGGACAGCATAGGAAATGTAAATAAATCATCCAATAAAAAAAAAAATTACCTCACGTTGTAGCATTTCAAATGTTCTGTTTGTCCTATCTTCATAAAAATGTAATTCTCTATTTTCACATTCATCTAACTTCTTTCCTGTTATTTTTAAGACTTCCATAAATCTATAAGAACAAAAATTAGCATGTGAAATTTTAATTGTAAGCATTTAAATAATATTTAAACAGATAGCAAAGAAATTGGTTTATAAAGTATTAAGCTGTTTGATTTATATCAATCTAAAATTACTTGAAAGTATTATAATAAAAATTCATTTGCTGGAGCGATACCTCAGCAGTTAAGAACACTGACTGTTCTTCCAGAGGTCCTGAGTTCAATTCCCAGCAACCATATAGTGACTAACATCCAACAGTAATGGGATCAGATGCCCTCTTCTGATGTGTCTGGAGACAGCGACAGTGTATTCACATACATAAAATAAAATTTAAAAATAGAAAATATATATGTGTGTATATATATGAATATATATATTCACACACATATATTCTTAGAAAATCGTATACAGTGTATTTTACTTTTTTGTATTTATTATATGCCTATGGGTATTTTGCTTACATGTATGTATGTATACCACATATGTGCCTGGTGCCTACAGAGAGCAAAAATGGGTATTGGATCTCCTGGGCCTGGAATTAAAGATAGTTGTGAACTGCCATGTGGGAATCAAACGCTGGTCTTCTGGAAGATTCGCAAGTAAAATTAGCATTAAGTCATCTCTCCAAACCACATAATCGTTTCCCAAATACTCCACCCCACAACTCCTCCCCACCCCTCCCTGCACTTTATGTTCTATTTATTTATTTATTTATTTTGGAAGAAACTACTTTGCAGCAGATGTCCTGGTCCCTAGTCTCTTACAATCTTTCCTCTCCTCTTCCACAATGCTCCCTGAGTCTGAAGTGCAGAGGTTATGTTTAAATCCATTAATTGGGAACAGGTACCCCAAGATCACTTTATCTCTGCATTTTGAAAAGCTGTGGCTTATGAGGAAATTTTTTATGATTAATTTGGCAGATAAACCTGTAGCCACATGCAGAACCCTCTGAGAAACACATGTTCCTTTTTAGTTCTTTAATGGTTGCTGTTGTGCTAGGACAAAGTATCGGACCAAAGCAACATGAGGGAGGGTTACTCTGGCTCACAGATGGAAGGTGTGGACCCTCATAATGGGGAAGTCATGGTGATCACAGCTTCTCTCACTGTGAGAGACCAAATCTGTTGAGTTCAGACTCCATCTTAGAGAACCGGACCTAAAATTGAACTCAAATAAACTAACAGGCCAGTACCTAGCACCAGTTTCCAGGCTACCCCACAACAAAACCTGCATCTAGCACCAGTCTCCAGGTTCTTCCCAACAAATCCGCACTCTCAGGTTACAAGCCCACCCTTGGCACTTCACTCCCTAGCAACCACCAATCAAGAGGAAAGCAGAAGTTAAGTTTATGGTTTGGCTCCAGCACTAGCCAATTATATTAAAGGCCATAATGGCCCCCCAATCAGATGTGTGCCAGGCTAGATACCCCTTTTTTGCCTCTATAAATCCTTGCCTGAAACTAGGCTCAGGGCTCCACCTTCCTGCTGTGTCAGGGTTGGCAGGGAGCCCAAGCTCAAGCTTAAATAAAGAGACCCTAATGCGACTGCATCAGAATCAGCTCCTTGGTGGTCTTTTGGAGTTCATGAATGTTTCCTGAAACAACATTTTGGTGCACTGGTTGGGAACTCCAAGGCCTCCAGGACTTGACCCAGAGGGTTTCAACACCAGTAATATCTGTCTGAGTCTGTGAGTCTGTCCATGTGTTTCTGTAAGGTAATTCCTGTCTTTTGTCTGTTTTTAAAATCTGAGTGGTGCCACATTTGTAATTCTGTTCTGAAAAAAAAAAAAGGCCTTATATCTGTATCTATGGCCATACCCCATTAAAGCAAATGTGCTAGGGGACTGTAGCCACAGGGCACCAGAAGACATTTTGAGTCCTCATCTGAGGTGGGCATGGGCTCAGAGAGACAGGGGTGCCCACTGATCTGGTTACTTTTGTTCCTTCCAGACAGAAAGGGACAGGTTTCTTTTTTGTGTATGACCGCCACCTGCTGGTTGTTCCTCGTTCCTGCCTGATAGAAAGAAAAAGACAAATTTTTCTTGTGTTTTTGTCTTTGTTGTCTATATGTTATGGGGCAACTTTCAGATGGACATTTAACATAGGACAGACGCCTTCAACTCCACCATGTTAAAACTAGGAAACAGAATTTTTCAGTCACCATTAAGAAAACTTTTTCTCCCTAGAAAACAAGCAGCCCCACCATAAGGGAACTCCCCAGGAGGAAAGACAACTCTGCCACAGGCAGCCCCACTGCAGGCCGAGGAGAGCTGCTGCAAGGACACAAAGCCATTAGGGAGCTGCCTCCAGAGCCTGAGTCTGTCATCCTGCACAGCAGGGGCAGTCGATAATCAAAGAAACCAACCTCATCACTATTGGCCCTTTGCCACTGGTGACCTTTATAACTAGAGAACTCAGAACTCCCCCTTTTCAGTAATTAATTTCTTTGAGACAGTTCTACATCCACCGGCACACTTGGGATGACTGGCAGCAGCTTTTGCAGGTTCTCTTCACCACAGAAAAAGAGAGAGAGAATCCAGGCAGAGACCAGGAAACTGGTTCTTGGCCCCACAGGGGAACCCACCAGCAACCAGGCAGCTACTGAGGCTGGCTTTCCCTTAAACCCAGATCGGGACTTCAACACTACCAAAGGTAAGGAAAGACTCTAAGTCTTACCTCCAGTCTGTGTTGGCAGGCCTCAAAGCAGCTGTAAGACAGTGCCCCAATTTAGCCAAAGGTACATAAGATATTAGTCAGAGGAATAAGGAGAGTTCCACAACTTTGTTTAAAAAGGGTCATGGAGATATTCCAAAGTGAAAGCAGCAGTAACTCTAGCTTTTAGCAGTTGGGCAGCACCAGATATTTTTTAAAAGCTCCAGAAGGTTGAGAGGTTAAGAAAAAGAAGTCTGAGAGACCTAATGATAATGGCAGAGAAAATGTTTAATAAAAAAAAGTGCAGGAAAAACAGGTGAAAGAGCAGAGGCAACAGACTCACAATCTGGCAAGGACCCTGTTGACAGCTACGGCCAAACCAGAGAACTGTAAGAGAAGTCTGAAACAAATGGCTTCTAGAAACCAATGTGCTTATTGAGGCACCTGCACCGGGCCAGAGGCCTACCTGTGTTGGAGACATCTAAAACAATGTCACTTCTAGAAAAAGAGGTAAGGGGGCCCTAAAGATAAGAAATGCACACACTTGAAAAAGAAAAAGATGCCCTGGGCAATCCTAAAAATAGAGGAGAAACCCACCAGCTTCCTTATAATTAACAGAGCTCAACATTCTCTCTAGCTAAAACCTGAAGGTAAAGTCTCTTCAACAGTTTACAAATGACCTCCTGGTGGTGACAGCAACCCAAACAAAAATGCCTAGAGCTAACCCAGGACCTCATCCACTGCTCAGGACACCAAAGAGAGAAGGACCCAGTTTCAGAGGGCAGCAATTTCACTTGCCCTCGACTTCCCTACTACCAGGGTATCTTTTGCTCCCTGACCACCTTAAGTATTCAAAAGATGACATAACCTGCACTAGAAATCTGTCCATGTCCCAATGTTATGATGAATGGTAGAGAACAACAGACTGAAAACTCATTGTGCCAGAAGAAATGGGACTGCATACTTCAGAAGATCCACTGCTCTTCCCACATGGGCGTCTGGAGAATCCAGGATTTGATACAACATGCTAATATCAGGATTAGCAATGTCAACTCAAAGGTAGCTAAGATCGTCATGAACTATAAAGCCTGCCAGCTAATTAATACAGTGGCTAATGAGAAGAACCCCAGTAATAGGTTCAGAGACACAAAGCCTAGAGTCTACTGGGTGACAAACTTCACAAAGGTTAAAACAGAAAATTTAGACATGAATATTTACTGGTATAGATACCTTTTCAGGGGACTGAGGTTTTCCCCATCAAACATGAAACTATATCCATGGTGACAAAGAAACTCTTAAAAGACATACTGACAAGATATGGGTTTCCTCAGATGATAGGGTCAGACAATGGACCAGTTTTTGTATCTCAGGTAAGTCAGATACTATCCAATATTCTGGGGATTGAATAGAAACTTTATTAAACATAGATACCCCAGAGTTCAAGACAGGCAGAGAAAATAAAACCCTAAAAGAGACCTTAACTAAACTGATCTAAGAAACTGGCGATGACTGAGTAACTCTCCTTCCCTTCACTCTCTACCAGGTATGAAACTACCCTTACCAGATAGAATTCATCTCTTTTTAAATCATGTTTGAGATACCACCCCACATTGTTCTTAACATACAGGCAGAGGTCATCGCTTGTTGGGTGGTGAACTATGAGAGGCAACGGGGTACCCAGTTGAGTCTGCGTCTAACTCCGGAGACCCTAAAGGAATGATAGGAGTTGGTGGTGCTCCTTGGCCTGCCAGTTCCTCTCACTTAGCTTCAGTCCTCCACAACCCCTCCCACAGGGGGGGTCTATGACCATCAGTCACATAGGAAGAGTGCCTCAGGCTCTCCCACATGTATATACAGTATCTCCAAGCTCTCACACCAAGCCAATAGAGGTTATCTGCTGCTAGACCCTAACCCACCCCAAAACTGTATATAAGAACCCTATTCGGGAGAAGTAAAGATGTGTGTGAGAATCATCCTCTTGTCCAAGAGTTTCTGTTGCAAGAGCTGTAATACTTGGGAAGATATCTGCTCTCCCAAAGCACATTCATGACCCTTCCTGTGCTCCCTGCTAGCTAGCTGGCTTCTCACCAGCTCAGCACAGAGCGACAGATGCAGCATCTGGGAGTAACTGGGTGGCAACAATGGAGACTCGGGCAGAGGCAGCCGTGGAGGCAGCAGAGGCAGTTCCCCCTCCCTGCTTGCACTCCATCCACCTTGGCCTGAACCTCCACACCTGGCCAGGCCAGAGATCTTCGTGGGAAGCCTTCCAGAACTGGGACCCACAATCGCTGAGTTGGAGGATCACCGATTGCTAGATGATCTCAAAGGTGTCTAGTGGGCTCATAAACATGTTTGGCCTA